ACAAGTCGCTGTCTTGAAAATTGTTATCAGCGTCTGTGTCTTCCGTGTATCTGTCTTGAGATCTCCCAGCCAGCGCCAGTGCTGGGAGCAGACAAATGAGAAGTATCACCAACTTGGCCATAGTCTCTGGAACTTGGAACTCGATGAGAATATCTAAAACTGTACGAGTGATCGTTCTTAATTTTACTGTTGGAAGGGATCCCCTCCAACACAAGTATACGGGCCAACTTGTTATGACTCCGATTTCAGCCTGCTTTTCTTTTTGGATTTGCTTCCATAGCCTTTATCGTACCAAGAACAAACTACAAGACAGCAGTTGTTTGATTTTGGAGTTTTCTCTCCTAGAAGAGTTGCTGTCCCCAGCTAACGAGCCACATCTGCCCGAGGGTTCTAACACGCCGACCCCTAACGATCATTCAATTGTATAATATTTATAGCAAAGCGGGTTTGGCGTCAATAATTGTTTAGTCTCGGCTTAGTTCAAGATTTAATTACATTTTTTAACGTAACGTGGCAGTCTATCATGGGCCTGATGGTGGTATGTGTTGCACAATGTTAGTTGGTGATAAATTGTGTGAAGGCTTGTTTTTTTGTTAACAAACTTTAATGTTGATGCAGCGTTAGGTTGTAAACTCTCTAAGTAGGGGGGGGGGCGAGATTTGAAGCGTCCAGAGTGTAGGTGGTTAATTCCAAAACCAGACCCGACACTTCAGGTGGTAGGAGGTTTAGAGGTGGGTCTTTAAACATATAGGCTTTGGGGGACATGTGTCATGGTGTGGGCACATGTTGTGGGTACATGTTGTGGGTACATGTTGTGGGTACATGTTGTGGGCACATGTTGTAGGCACAAGTTGTGGATATATGATTGGGTACATGTTGTAGACCCATGTTGTGGGTACATGTTGTAGGTACATGGTGTGGGTACATGTTGTAGGTACATGTTGTGGGTACATGTTGTGGGTACATGTTGTGGGCACATGTTGTAGGTACATGTTGTGGGTACATTTTGTAGGTACATGTTGTGGACACATGTTGTGGGCACATGTTGTAGGTACATGTTGTGGGTACATGTTGTGGGTACATGTTGTGGGCACATGTTGTGGGCACATGTTGTGGGTACATGTTGTGAGTACATTATGTGTTACTTTTACTACCTTTTTGGTCAGTTTGCCTACATGTTGTTGACCTACATTATCTGCTATTCAATCGAATAAAAGATAGTCTACATTTGATTACCCCTAGCATTCCAATACGAGTGGGCTGAACTAGCACAGTCAAAGGCATGTTGCATTGTATTATATCAGCCTTAATCTTGGAACACGTTGAGGTACACAGAGCAGGCAGAATCACACAGACAACCAAATAAAACATCGAGACACTTGTCCTCCCTTACACTAGCCCTCCCTCACACTTGTCCTCCCTCACACTTGTCCTCCCTCACACTTGTCCTCCCTCACACTTGTCCTCCCTCACACTTGTCCTCCCTTACACTAGCCCTCCCTCACACTTGTCCTCCCTCACACTTGTCCTCCCTCACACTTGTCCTCCCTCACACTTGTCCTCCCTGTCGCTTGTCCTCCCTCACACTAGTCCTCCCTCACAGAAGTCCTCCCTGTCGCTTGTCCTCCCTCACACTTGTCCTCCCTCACACTTGTCCTCCCTGTCGCTTGTCCTCCCTCACACTTGTCCTCCCTCACACTTGTCCTCCCTCACACTTGTCCTCCCTCACGCTTGTCCTCCCTCACACTTGTCCTCACTCACACTTGTCCTCCCTCACGCTTGTCCTCCCTCACACTTGTCCTCCCTCACACTTGTCCTCCCTCACACTTGTCCTCCCTCACACTTGTCCTCCCTCACACTTGTCCTCCCTCACGCTAGTCCTCCCTCACACTTGTCCTCCCTCACACTTGTCCTCCCTGTCGCTTGTCCTCCCTCACACTAGTCCTCCCTCACAGAAGTCCTCCCTGTCGCTTGTCCTCCCTCACACTTGTCCTCCCTCACACTTGTCCTCCCTGTCGCTTGTCCTCCCTCACACTTGTCCTCCCTCACACTTGTCCTCCCTCACACTTGTCCTCCCTCACACTTGTCCTCCCTCACGCTTGTCCTCACTCACACTAGTCCTCCCTCACACTTGTCCTCCCTCATTCTTGTCCTCCCTCACACTTGTCCTCCCTCACACTTGTCCTCCCTCACACTAGTCCTCCCTCACACTAGTCCTCCCTCACACTTGTCCTCCCTCACACTTGTCCTCCCTGTCGCTTGTCCTCCCTCACACTTGTCCTCCCTGTCGCTTGTCCTCCCTCACACTTGTCCTCACTCACACTAGTCCTCCCTCACACTTGTCCTCACTCACACTAGTCCTCCCTCACACTTGTCCTCCCTCACACTTGTCCTCCCTCACACTTGTCCTCCCTCACACTTGTCCTCACTCACACTAGTCCTCCCTCACACTTGTCCTCCCTCACACTTGTCCTCCCTCACGCTTGTCCTCACTCACACTAGTCCTCCCTCACACTTGTCCTCCCTCATTCTTGTCCTCCCTCACACTTGTCCTCCCTCACACTTGTCCTCCCTGTCGCTTGTCCTCCCTCACACTAGTCCTCCCTCACAGAAGTCCTCCCTGTCGCTTGTCCTCCCTCACACTTGTCCTCCCTCACACTTGTCCTCCCTGTCGCTTGTCCTCACTCACACTTGTCCTCCCTCACACTTGTCCTCCCTCACGCTTGTCCTCACTCACACTAGTCCTCCCTCACACTTGTCCTCCCTCATTCTTGTCCTCCCTCACACTAGTCCTCCCTCACGCTTGTCCTCACTCACACTAGTCCTCCCTCACACTAGTCCTCTCACACACTAGTCCTCCCTCAACTAGTCCTCCCTCACAGTAGTCCTCCCTCACACTTGTCCTCCCTCACACTAGTCCTCCCTCACACTAGTCCTCCCTCACACTAGTCCTCCCTCACACTAGTCCTCCCTCACACTTGTCCTCCCTGTCGCTTGTCCTCCCTCACACTTGTCCTCCCTCACACTAGTCCTCCCTGTCGCTTGTCATCCCTTGACTATCTGTTGTTGAGCCACTGACTTGACCAAGCATAACCTAACCAAACATAACCTAACCAAACATAACCTAACCAAACATAACCTAACCAAACATAACCTAACCAAACATAACCTAACCAAACATAACCTAACCAAACATAACCTAACCAAACATAACCTAACCAAACATAACCTAACCAAACATAACCTAACCTAACCTAACCTAACCTAACCTAACCTAACCAAACATAACCTAACCAAGCATAACCTAACCAAACATAACCTAACCAAACATAACCTAACCAAACATAACCAAACATAACCTAACCAAACATAACCTAACCAAACATAACCTAACCAAACATAACCTAACCAAACATAACCTAACCAAACATAACCTAACCAAACATAACCTAACCAAACATAACCTAACCAAACATAACCTAACCAAACATAACCTAACCAAACATAACCTAACCAAACATAACCTAACCAAACATAACCTAACCAAACATAACCTAACCAAACATAACCTAACCAAACATAACCTAACCAAACATAACCTAACCAAACATAACCTAACCAAACATAACCTAACCAAACATAACCTAACCAAACATAACCTAACCAAACATAACCTAACCAAACATAACCTAACCAAACATAACCTAACCAAACATAACCTAACCAAACATAACCTAACCTAACCAAACATAACCTAACCAAACATAACCTAACCAAACATAACCAAACATAACCTAACCAAACATAACCTAACCAAACATAACATAACCAAACATAACCTAACCAAACATAACCTAACCTAACCAAACATAACCAAACATAACCTAACCAAACATAACCTAACCTAACCAAACATAACCAAACATAACCTAACCAAACATAACCTAACCAAACATAACCTAACCAAACATAACCTAACCAAACATAACCTAACCAAACATAACCTAACCAAACATAACCTAACCAAACATAACCTAACCAAACATAACCTAACCAAACATAACCTAACCAAACATAACCTAACCAAACATAACCTAACCAAACATAACCTAACCAAACATAACCTAACCAAACATAACCTAACCTAACCAAACATAACCTAACCAAACATAACCTAACCTAACCAAACATAACCTAACCAACATAACCTAACCAAACATAACCTAACCTAACCAAACATAACCTAACCTAACCAAACATAACCTAACCAAACATAACCTAACCAAACATAACCTAACCAAACATAACCTAACCAAACATAACCTAACCAAACATTACCTAACCAAACTTAACCAAACATAACCTAACCTAACCAAACATAACCTAACCAAACATAACCTAACCTAACCAAACATAACCTAACCAAACATAACCTAACCAAACATAACCTAACCTAACCAAACATAACCTAACCTAACCAAACATAACCTAACCAAACATAACCTAACCAAACATAACCTAACCAAACATAACCTAACCAAACATAACCTAACCAAACATTACCTAACCAAACATAACCTAACTAAATATAACCTAATCAAACATAACCTAACCAAACTTAACCTAACCAAACATAACCTAACCAAACTTAACCTAACCAAACATTACCTAATCAAACATAACCTAACCAAATATAACCTAACAACATAACATAACCTAATCAAACATAACCTAACCAAACATAACCTAACAACATAACCTTATCAAACATAACCTAACCAAACATAACCTAACAACATAACCTTATCAAACATAACCTAACCATTCATAACCTAACCTATCTACTGACTAGTTATCGTGTAGGCCTATACCTAAATTATCCGAATGCCAACTACATGTTTTGTATGACACACATAAGCAATCAAATTCATCACGACACACATAAGCAATCAAGTTCATCACGACACACAATGTCAGTGAAAATAAAACACTTCTTTTTGTTTAGTCAAAGTTTTATTTTGTCTGCATCCGTTCCCTAAAGTCTAACACTTGAAACTTTAAACTTCACATTGAAGTGTCTCCAAGACACTTCTTTCAATTAGCCATTGAGTTTTCTCTTGGTTGTGGTAGGCATTTTAGTGGTGGGTTTTTTGGTAGTTGTCGTGGCTTTTTTGGTGGTTGTCGTGGCTTTTTTGCTGGGTGTGGTTTGTATGTGGATTGTTGCAGGTTTGTCTGTTGTCTTGTCGTGTTGCTGTGTAGTTTTGTCATCTACAAGTTTAAATCGATCAAGGACGCTGGCGCCGATTAGGAATTCGGTAAAAAAACTGGGAAAAAAAATAATTGCAATAGTCATATTGTTTTGTCACAAGCTAACGACAATAACAAACTGAAAATAAAGAATTATAACATGTTTCCCATTTAACCTAACTAAATACTGAGACAATAAATTTAAAACGGGGACAAAGGCTGTCGTAATATGGTTTTTAAAGACGTTGAATTTAAGTTGATGTGTGAAATTTAATTTAATTTGGCTTAGCAATTTGGGCCAACTCAAGGATCACCTTTGTGACTGAACAAGTGGGGCCATCAAAATGATCACCTTTGTGACTGAACAAGTTGGGCCATCAAAATGATCACCTTTGTGACTGAACAAGTTGGGCCATCAAAATGATCACCTTTGTGACTGAACAAGTTGGGCCATCAAAATGATCACCTTTGTGACTGAACAAGTTGGGCCATCAAAATGATCACCTTTGTGACTGAACAAGTTGGGCCATCAAAATGATCACCTTTGTGTCTGAACAAGTTGGGCCATCAAAATGATCACCTTTGTGTCTGAACAAGTTGGGCATCAAAATGATCACCTTTGTGACTGAACAAGTTGGGCCATCAAAATGATCACCTTTGTGACTGAACAAATTGGGCCATCAAAATGATCACCTTTGTGACTGAACAAATTGGGCCATCAAAATGATCACCTTTGTGACTGAACAAATTGGGCCATCAAAATGATCACCTTTGTGACTGAATAACAAAAGTATCACCTCTGGAACTCTTCTGCGTTGACCTTCCCGTCATCGTTGCCGTCCATGTTGAAGTACATCTTCTCGTAGTCCCTCTCATCCAGCACGTGATCATGGTTAAAGTCTAGCAGATTCTCCATGGAACTTGGCTGGAATTTTACGACTCTCAAAATATACGCACACAAACATACACACACGAACAAGTTATTTAAAAAACCACTCACACAAATGTTGACTTGTACTGGAAAAGTCATTTTAATCCATAAAGCTAAAGTAGACTGGCCCGAACTTGTTTATATAATTTATAGCAACCGGAAAAAAGTGTTGTTGTTTTTAAATCAAAAGTCGCAAGGAACCTACGTGTAGGCTCAAATACTCATCTATAAATGTTTCGTTGACTACATTAACTGAAACGATACTCAAGTGATCGAAGTGACATCCAAACAAACACATACAGACAATACTTCAAAACTTTTTAGTACCCAGGAAAATGTAAAACGTCATGATTTATCAAAATCTCCAGTTCAATTCTTCTACGCGAAGACAATAAATTTAAAAGATTAAAAACAAATAGTTACCCTATGAAACATGCTTCTGATCTCAGCAAGTGTTACCTAAGATTAAAAACAAATAGTTACCCTATGAAACATGCTTCTGATCTCAGCAAGTGTTACCTCTTCGTTGTTGTCTATGTCGGTCATCATGAGCAGAATATGCATGAAATCAAGCACGTAGGCACCATCTAACGAACATGATACAGTGTAAACTAGATGTATAGAATGCAACAGCGAGAATGCACTGCCGTATTGCTCTCAAGCCTAACTTATTACCATAGCATTAAATACAATGTCTCGAATGCTCCTGTCCATCCATGGCGCTGCTGGTCCCCACCCTAACTACGCCCCTAACTTGCTTGTCGCCATCCTAAGTACGCCCCTGAGAGTCAAAACTATTACTATTACACCCCCCCCCCCATCTCTCGTCGGCCCATCATTTCCAGGGCCTCAGCCTACCCACTCACCCGTAAGTCCCACACTAAACACGCCCCTGCTTGTCACCACTCTAACCACGCCCCTGTTAGACCAACCTCTAACCTCGTCCCTGATAGTTACCACTCTTACCACGCCCCTGCTATCACCACTCTAACCACGCCCATGCTAGTCACCACTCTAACCACGCCCATGCTAGTCACCACACTTGTGGATCTTGTTATACTTACTAATGATACACCTGCCCCATATGAGCCCAAAAATAACTTCTAAGCCAAGTGTAAAATCGCACGTGCTAGTCACCACACTAACCACGTCCATGATAGTCACCACACTAACCACCCCCCATGATAGTCACCACACTAACCACCCCCCATGATAGTCACCACACTAACCACCCCCCATGATAGTCACCACACTAACCACCCCCCATGATAGTCACCACACTAACCACCCCCCATGATAGTCACCACACTAACCACCCCCCATGATAGTCAACACACTAACCACGTCCATGATAGTCACCACACTAACCACGTCCATGATAGTCACCACACTAACCACGTCCATGATAGTCACCACACTAACCACCCCCCATGATAGTCACCACACTAACCACCCCCCATGATAGTCACCACACTAACCACCCCCATGATAGTCACCACACTAACCACGTCCATGATAGTCACCACACTAACCACGTCCATGATAGTCACCACACTAACCACCCCCCATGATAGTCACCACACTAACCACCCCCCATGATAGTCACCACACTAACCACCCCCCATAATAGTCACCACACTAACCACGTCCATGATAGTCACCACACTAACCACGTCCATGATAGTCACCACACTAACCACGTCCATGATAGTCACCACACTAACCACGTCCATGATAGTCACCACACTAACCACGTCCATGATAGTCACCACACTAACCACGTCCATGATAGTCACCACACTAACCACCCCCCATGATAGTCACCACACTAACCACCCCCCATGATAGTCACCACACTAACCACGTCCATGATAGTCACCACACTAACCACGTCCATGATAGTCAACACACTGACCACGTCCATGATAGTCACCACACTAACCACGTCCATGATAGTCACCACACTAACCACGTCCACGATAGTCACCACACTAACCACGTCCATGATAGTCACCACACTAACCACGTCCATGACATTCACCCAACAAATATCCGCCTAGGTAAATAAGACCCAAACTTACCTGTATGGACCATGGGGTCATCGCCTTGTATATCTTCATTTGAGTCCAACAAATCGTCTTCATTGTCAAGGTCATCAACATCACTGTCTAACGAGTCGCTGTCTTGAAAATTGTAATCACTGTCTAACGAGTCGCTGTCTTCAGAATCGGGATCACTTTCCTGTATATCGCCCCACCGACCACCTCTATGTGTGTCTCCTCCATGATGGTTTTTAAAAGTGTGATCACTTCCCTGTATATCGCCCCATTGACCATCGCCATGTGGATCACTTTCTTGCGAGTCGCTGTCTTCAAAATTATCAGTGTCATACGAGTCGCTGTCTTCAAAATTATCAGTGTCATACGAGTCGCTGTCTTCAAAATTATCAGTGTCATACGAGTCGCTGTCTTCAAAATTATCAGTGTCATACGAGTCGCTGTCTTCAAAATTATCAGTGTCATACGAGTCGCTGTCTTCAAAATTATCAGTGTCATACGAGTCGCTGTCTTCAAAATTATCAGTGTCATACGAGTCGCTGTCTTCAAAATTGTTATCAGCGTCTGTGTCTTCCGTGTATCTGTCTTGAGATCTCCCAGCCAGCGCCAGTGCTGGGAGCAGACAAATGAGAAGTATCACCAACTTGTCCATAGTCTCTGGAACTTGGAACTCGATGAGAATATCTAAAACTGTACGAGTGATCGGAATAAATAGCAGCTATGTAACGATCATTCGATTGTTTAATATTTACAGTAAAGCGGGTTTGGCGTCAATAATATCTTTGTTTAGTCTCGGCTTAGTTCAAGATTTAATTACATTTTTAACGTAACGTGGCAGTCTATCATGGGCCTGATGGTGGTATGTTTAATAAACATTGTTTCTGTGTATTAATATTATTCCATTTTTAGTGTAACTGTTACTAAAAGTGATTGTGAGTTGGCGTGGTTTAGTGTTTGTATTTCATACATTATTTGTTATCACTTACATACGACATGGGGACATGTTGTTGTGGGGACATGTTGTTGTGGGGAGATGTTGTTGTGGGGACATGTTGTTGTGGGGACATGTTGTTGTGGGGACATGTTGTTGTGGGGATATGTTGTTGTGGGGACATGTTGTTGTGGGGACATGTTGTTGTGGGGACATGTTGTTGTGGGGATATGTTGTTGTGGGGACATGTTGTTGTTGTGGGGACATGTTGTTGTTGTGGGGACATGTTGTTGTGGGGACATGTTGTTGTGGGGACATGTTGTTGTGGGGACATGTTGTGGGGACATGTTGTTGTGGGGACATGTAGCTGTGGGGACATGTTGTTGTGGGGACATGTTGTGGGGACATGTTGTTGTTGGGACATGTTGTGGGGACATGTTGTTGTGGGGACATGTTGTGGGGACATGTTGTTGTTGGGACATGTTGTTGTGGGGACATGTTGTGGGGACATGTTGTTGTGGGGACATGTTGTTGTTGGGACATGTTGTTGTGGGGACATGTTGTTGTGGGGACATGTTGTTGTGGGGACATGTTGTTGTGGGGACATGTTGTTGTGGGGACATGTTGTTGTGGGGACATGTTGTTGTGGGGACATGTTGTGGGGACATGTTGTTGTGGGGACATGTTGTTGTGGGGACATGTTGTTGTGGGGACATGTTGTTGTGGGGACATGTTGTTGTGGGGACATGTTGTTGGGGGGACATGTTGGGGGGACATGTTGTTGTGGGGACATGTTGTTGTGGGGACATGTTGTTGTTGTGGGGACATGTTGTTGTGGGGACATGTTGTGAGGACATGTTGTTGTGGGGACATGTTGTGAGGACATGTTGTTGTGGGGACATGTTGTGGGGGCATGTTGTTGTGGGGACATGTTATTGTGGGGACATGTTGTGGGGACATGTTGTTGGGGGGACATGTTGTTGTGGGGACATGTTGTTGTGGGGACATGTTGTTGTGGGGACATGTTGTTGTGGGGACATGTTGTTGTGGGGACATGTTGTTGTGGGGACATGTTGTTGTGGGGACATGTTGTTGTGGGGACATGTTGTTGTGGGGACATGTTGTTGTGGGGACATGTTATTGTGGGGACATGTTGTTGTGGGGACATGTTGTTGTGGGGACATGTTGTTGTGGGGACATGTTGTTGTGGGGACATGTTGTTGTGGGGACATGTTGTTGTGGGGACATGTTGTTGTGGGGACATGTTGTTGTGGGGACATGTTGTTGTGGGGACATGTTGTTGTGGGGACATGTTGTTGTGGGGACATGTTGTTGTGGGGACATGTTGTTGTGGGGACATGTTGTTGTGGGGACATGTTGTTGTGGGGACATGTTGTTGTGGGGACATGTTGTTGTGGGGACATGTTGTTGTGGGGACATGTTGTTGTGGGGACATGTTGTGGGGACATGTTGTGGGGACATGTTGTTGTGGGGACATGTTGTGGGGACATGTTGTGGGGACATGTTGTGGGGACATGTTATTGTGGGAACATGTTGTTCGGGGGACATGTTTTTGTGGGGACATGTTGTTCGGGGGACATGTTGTTGTGGGGACATGTTGTTGTTGTGGGGACATGTTGTTGGGGGGACATGTTGTTGTGGGGACATGTAGCTGTGGGGACATGTTGTTGTGGGGACATGTTGTTGTGGGGACATGTTGTTGTGGGGACATGTTGTTGTGGGGACATGTTGTTGTGGGGACATGTTGTTGTGGGGACATGTTGTTGTGGGGACATGTTGTTGTGGGGACATTTTGTTGTTGGGACATGTTGTGGGGACATGTTGTTGTGGGGACATGTTGTTGTGGGGACATGTTGTTGTGGGGACATGTTGTTGTGGGGACATGTTGTTGTGGGGACATGTTGTTGTGGGGACATGTTGTTGTGGGGACATGTTGTGAGGACATGTTGTTGTGAGGACATGTTGTTGTTGGGGGGACATGTTGTTGTTGTGGGGACATGTTGTTGTTGTGGGGACATGTTGTTGTTGTGGGGACATGTTGTTGTGGGGACATGTTGTTGTGGGGACATGTTGTTGGGGGGACATGTTGTTGGGGGGACATGTTGTTGTGGGGACATGTTGTTGTGGGGACATGTTGTTGTGGGGACATGTTGTTGTGGGGACATGTTGTTGTGGGGACATGTTGTTGTGGGGACATGTTGTTATGGGGACATGTTGTTGGGGGGACATGTTGTGGCGACATGTAGTTGTGGCGACATGTTGTTGTGGGGACATGTTGTTGTTGTGGGGACATGTTGTTGTGGGGACATGTTGTTGTTGTGGGGACATGTTGTTGTGGGGACATGTTGTTGTTGTGGGGACATGTTGTTGTTGTGGGGACATGTTGTTGTGGGGACATGTTGTTGTGGGGACATGTTGTTGGGGGGACATGTTGGGGGGACATGTTGTTGTGGGGACATGTTGTTGTGGGGACATGTTGTTGTGGGGACATGTTGTTGTGGGGACATGTTGTTGTGGGGACATGTTGTTGTGGGGACATGTTGTGGGGACATGTTGTTGTGGGGACATGTTGTGGGGACATGTTGTGGGGACATGTTGTTCGGGGGACATGTTTTTGTGGGGACATGTTGTTCGGGGGACATGTTTTTGTGGGGACATGTTGTTGTGGGGACATGTTGTTGTGGGGACATGTTGTTGTGGGGACATGTTGTTGTGGGGACATGTTGTTGTTGGGACATGTTGTGGGGACATGTTGTTGTGGGGACATGTTGTTGTGGGGACATGTTGTTGTGGGGACATGTTGTGGGGACATGTTGTGGTGGGGACATGTTGTTGTGGGGACATGTTGTGGGGACATGTTGTTGTGGGGACATGTTGTTGTGGGGACATGTTGTGAGGACATGTTGTTGTGGGGACATGTTGTTGTTGTGGGGACATGTTGTTGTTGTGGGGACATGTTGTTGTTGTGGGGACATGTTGTTGTGGGGACATGTTGTTGTGGGGACATGTTGTTGTGGGGACATGTTGTTGTGGGGACATGTTGTTGTGGGGACATGTTGTTGTGGGGACATGTTGTTGTGGGGACATGTTGTGGGGACATGTTGTTATGGGGACATGTTGTTGTGGGGACATGTTTTTGTGGGGACATGTTGTTGTGGGGACATGTTGTTGTGGGGACATGTTGTTGTGGGGACATGTTGTTATGGGGACATGTTGTTATGGGGACATGTTGTTATGGGGACATGTTGTTGGGGGGACATGTTGTGGGGACATGTTGTTGTGGGGACATTTTGTTGTGGGGACATGTTGTGAGGACATGTTGTGGGGACATGTTATTGTGGGAACATGTTGTTCGGGGGACATGTTTTTGTGGGGACATGTTGTTCGGGGGACATGTTGTTGTGGGGACATGTTGTTGTTGTGGGGACATGTTGTTGGGGGGACATGTTGTTGTGGGGACATGTTGTTGTGGGGACATGTTGTTGTGGGGACATGTAGCTGTGGGGACATGTTGTTGTGGGGACATGTTGTTGTGGGGACATGTTGTTGTGGGGACATGTTGTTGTGGGGACATGTTGTTGTGGGGACATGTTGTTGTGGGGACATGTTGTTGTGGGGACATGTTGTTGTGGGGACATGTTGTTGTTGGGACATGTTGTGGGGACATGTTGTTGTGGGGACATGTTGTTGTTGTGGGGACATGTTGTTGTGGGGACATGTTGTTGTGGGGACATGTTGTTGGGGGGACATGTTGTTGGGGGGATATGTTGTTGTGGGGACATGTTGTTGTTGTGGGGACATGTTGTTGTTGTGGGGACATGTTGTTGTGGGGACATGTTGTTGTGGGGACATGTTGTTGTGGGGACATGTTGTTGTGGGGACATGTTGTTGTGGGGACATGTTGTGGCGACATGTAGTTGTGGCGACATGTTGTTGTGGGGACATGTTGTTGTTGTGGGGACATGTTGGTGTGGGGACATGTTGTTGTGGGGACATGTTGTTGTGGGGACATGTTGTTGGGGGGACATGTTGTTGTGGGGACATGTTGTTGTGGGGACATGTTGTTGTGGGGACATGTTGTGGGGACATGTTGTTGTGGGGACATGTAGCTGTGGGGACATGTTGTTGTGGGGACATGTTGTGGGGACATGTTGTTGTGGGGACATGTTGTTGTGGGGACATGTTGTTGTGGGGACATGTTGTGGGGACATGTTGTTGTGGGGACATGTTGTGGGGACATGTTGTGGGGACATGTTGTTCGGGGGACATGTTTTTGTGGGGACATGTTGTTCGGGGGACATGTTTTTGTGGGGACATGTTGTTGTGGGGACATGTTGTTGTGGGGACATGTTGTTGTTGGGACATGTTGTGGGGACATGTTGTTGTGGGGACATGTTGTGGGGACATGTTGTTGTGGGGACATGTTGTTGTGGGGACATGTTGTTGTGGGGACATGTTGTGGGGACATGTTGTGGTGGGGACATGTTGTTGTGGGGACATGTTGTGGGGACATGTTGTTGTGGGGACATGTTGTTGTGGGGACATGTTGTGAGGACATGTTGTTGTGGGGACATGTTGTTGTTGTGGGGACATGTTGTTGTTGTGGGGACATGTTGTTGTTGTGGGGACATGTTGTTGTGGGGACATGTTGTTGTGGGGACATGTTGTTGTGGGGACATGTTGTTGTGGGGACATGTTGTTGTGGGGACATGTTGTTGTGGGGACATGTTGTGGGGACATGTTGTTATGGGGACATGTTGTTGTGGGGACATGTTTTTGTGGGGACATGTTGTTGTGGGGACATG